AGAAGTGAGTGAGTGGGAGGCTTCGCTGATAACCAACACAATGGGATCGCTCTTCATGCCACCAGCAGCACATGAGCTATTACTTGTTTAGATGACTTACTAAGGCCCAAAAAGGGGAGGCCCAACAAATAATGGAGTGGATCCAATGATACATTCACATTAAAAATCATTTAGAGTAAAGATATCACAGACACCCAGAACAGATTGTATGAGTGAACATTACCACAAAATATGGAAATAAGAACCAATGTCATTGCCACATCTCCAGCAAAGTTTGTGAGAGTAATGAGTCGTGACATTGTAAAACTTCTGGGGTTCTGTACCAAAACAGTAATATCTTACAAGTCTCTCTGCACCACACATCTGGAGGATTTGGAAGCAGAACTCCGTATCTTCTCCCAACTAGGGATAGGTCTCTGTAGTAATAAAGCCCATTTTCTCATATAGTTGTGGAGATTTACCATAAGAGGTGTGGTGTCATGATGAAGTTTATAGATGGTGGATATTAAGTAGAGTTGGTGTGGGCCTTGTGCACAGGTGAATTCAAATTTAGTGGGCCTATCTAAGGAGAGGAATGGGGATAGAGAGGAGAAAAAATGTTTGATTCGAAGGTAAGAACATAATGTAAGTGATTGGGAATATGGTATTTGGACTGTAGCTCTCTAAAAGAGAACATCTTGCGGGTTACTGAGTGAACAAAATGGCATAGCTGGAATAGGGTGGCTTAAGACCATAGAGCCATGCGCCCATAGGATAGGCTATCTGGTATTAGAGGATTGAAAAGTACATTAGAGACGGGTGGGCATGGTGAGGAGAGAGAGTACTTTTTACAAGTAACATGCCATAACTTCCAAGTAAACAACATAGGAGCCAGACAAAAAATGTTTTGAAGTTGTATCAATGTAGAGAAATGGGGACCACACCACAATACAAGGATGGACAGGGTAGAGGGACCCCATTTCAATTTCCTACCATCTATTTGGGTCATATTGGCTTGACTATGAGGTGATGGTGCATAGGTGAGTCGCATAATATTATTTAATGATATCTGGGGCTCCCAAACCTCCCCATGTTTGGGGTGAAATGACAACAGAGCTGACAGCACGGTGGGATTTGTTATGCCATATGAAATTAAGAAACCTGTGGTGCAGTGTTTTGAGTTGGGTATAGGAACAGGTAGTGTTTAAAAAAAATAAAGCAGTTTAGGCAAAATAGACATTTTTAGAATGTTTATCCTACCTAGTAAGGAGATGGGGTAAGCAAACCACTGTTTAGGCATACAACTGATGTCTTTAAAAACAGTAGTAGAGTTGGAGAGTTGGTGGTAAATAGAGTATGTAGGTGTTAAATGGACACCAAGATATTTGAGAGATTGGGAACACCATTATTAAGAGTATGTCTGTTGTAAAGTAGCAAGAAGATCTGAGAGGAGAAGAATAGGAAGAATAGTAGGTTGTGTAGACATGGGAGGGAGAGGATAGGGTTTGTGATTGTCAACAGAATGTCATCTGCAAAGAGGGAAAGCTTATATTCCCACTGTCTCATCAAAATCCCTTTATATCTGGATGAGTATGGATGGTAGCAACCGGGGGTTCTAGACATAATATAAATAGCAGGGGCGATAAGGGACAGCCCATTCCAGTCCCATTTGACATAGGGAAGGAAGGGGATGAGAAAGCATAAAATTGGAAACTTTTGGTAGTAGTCCTGAGAGACATATGTATGTCAGGAATTCGGGACTGCAGTCTTGAAGGGTGAGGGAAACATGGAGACCTCCAAGGACAACATTGTATCTCTAACATAGCTCAACGTAAGTAAAAATCTTCACATCATGGGGTGTAACAGGGTCGTAAATACAGGTTAAAACATTCTAATGGTTGGGCAAAAAAAAAGGAGAAAATAAGGAGATTTAGGGAATATCCCAGAAAGGATATCATCTATAGGTCATAGTTGATCGTCAAGTGGGTAGTTTAGGAGGATGCTGGCGTTGAGGAGTAGAAGAGGCTTTTCTTGATTTAATCTTAGCCGGCGTCCAAATCCAGGTTGGAGCAGAAAGAGATCTTGGCGTAGAAGGAAGAGGTGTTAAGTCTTCTTCTAGAAGAGGAGGTAAGTCAAAGCTTCCCCTTCATGTAGATCTCGAAGCACATACTGGAAAGCATCTTTGGTGGCCATGAGGCGGAATGGGAAGCTCCAGAAATAGCAGACACAATGATTTTGTAGGTGAGCAGTGATAGGCCTCAGATTACATCTTTTAGCCAAGGTGATAGGTGAAAGATCATTAAAAATCTGGATTCTGTCACTCTTATATTCAGTTTGCAATCTATTGCAAGTGGCTAAATTAAGGGCTTTCTTGCTAGTAGTAGTAGTGGAATTGAACAATAACATCTCTGGGCCGTGCTCCAAGAGGAGGTTTAGGGGCCAGGGAATGATGATCAAGTCGCCAATGAATGTCAGCTATGTCAGGGACCAAGGTGTTGAAAAAGTCCATGAGATAAGAGTGCTGGTTGGTGTCATTCACAATCTCTGGCACTCTGCGGATGCGTAGATTTTGGTGCATTTTTCTGTTCTTCAGGTCTTCCAATTTGGAGTTAAGAGACTGCTTAAGTGCAGAGTTTTCCCCCTCTAACACATGAACATATTGGACTGGTCATCAAATTTAGTCTCTAGGGCATCAGTGCGCTCTCCCAGCTCATCAATTTCCCCTCTTAATTCTTGTCTTTATTTTACCCACTGCATGAGAGATAGTATAGGTTAATTGATGATGTAAAGCCTGTAATTGTTTGTCCAGGAATTCCAATGTCAGAACAGAAGGAGGAGGCATGGATTCACTAGGAGGGAGACAGGAGCGTGGGAGCTCTTCCATCATGAAAGCACCAATCTGCTCGGCTAGGTAATCCTGTGTAAGCAAGGTTGGGGATGCGGGGGCCTAGAAAAGAGCTGCTCCATAGTGGTGGGAAGCCACCCTATTTTTCCCATGAGGTGTGCTGAGGTAAGGGGAGTTGGTATAGCTTACCACCGCAGCGAATAAAGCTGACTGCTGCAGAGCAGGGGTTGTGGAGAATGGGTCGGGACAGGAGCTCTGCAGCTATGCGTCCACCATCATCAGAGGCCATGCATACAATGACTTTTTTTTAACCTGCCTAATCTTCAAGCTATTTCCAAGTCAGTTAATTATAAAGTATTGATGCCAGGAGGCTAGGCTGTTACTATTATTGTAAAGGAGCTGGGGCACCCCAGGGCACACTGAAGAGAAAAATATAGTGAAGTATTTACCACACCATTGCATACATAAGGCATAGCCAAATTACAATGAAAAATGAGCAAGTCTCAAAATGGCATTGTAAAAAGAGCATGGGCCTACTCACTGTTTAATCCTCACACATACTGTATGTATTGAAGAAAGAAGGGCAGCAAGACAGGCAGACATTTAGAACATCAGGTAAGGTCAGCTATGGTAGCCTCAATGTTTCCCTTTTAGCAGTTTCCTGGAACATGATAACATACTGTTTATTCATGGTTGTAATGAAGTTTTTTTAATAGGATTTGTGCTCCCTTGCAGCAGACCTCCATTCAAATAGGAAAAAGCCATCAAAGAAGATTAGCAAGACATCCATGAATGTTCACAAATATGCACATGAATATAATGTGAATGAATGATACATAGAAACAGGAACTAGCTGAGATGTGAAGATTGAAAAAAATTTCTGCTTAGCTTTACAGAGCCATCATTTCTATAGAAGGTGACATTTTCATATTTTTACAAAGTTTTTTAGTGATGAAAATAAACCATGATCAAAAAACATTTTATATTTGAGAAAAAACACAGTTGATCATTATCTTCTCCCATATTTGACTCTAACCTTCTGCTTCCATGCTGACAGGCCCTTGTCATTAGGCATTGTGTCATCCACCCCTTACTACTGCCCACCCAACCCCCAAGATGTAGACACTCCCCCCTTTTTCCCAATGCTCCCTTCTTCTGCCACCTTTCTTTCTTTTCTTCCACTTTTTCTCATTCCTACTTCCTTTGTCATGCTGTTAGTATTCCGTGTCCTCCAGATGGTTATATACTGCTAACATTGGTACATGATCTAGTTTATCTGTCAGGAACGTCTAGCGCTCCTGCTCCGTCACAGCTGCTAGTCTTTTTCCAGCATCTTGGTTTTTGGCTGTAATACATTTTCCCGGTCTGTCCCTGTTTGTCTGCGCCGCTGCTTGGATCAGATATCAACTACTTTCTGAATTCTGCCTGCCTTTTGACTATGGATTTGACCCTGATTATTCTGAACCTTGCCTGCCCTGTCATTGAACCCCTCTGACTGTCTGACAACCAAGTACCTATTTGATGTGCTCAGTTTTTGCCTCCCCCGGGGGGTATACAAAGCACCATATCACTGTATATAAGTCCACGGGCAACCAAGTACCAGTAGGTCTGCTTGCCTTATGAGAAAGTGGGCTCCTATAGGTGAAGAACACAGAAGCTAGCTATAGTGTGTGACTACCTGCGGTAGAGATAAGCATGACATTATCACGTTCAAACTCGTTCAAACTCTCATTACCACTGATTATGCTGATTATGCTATTTTTTTCCTATTTTTTCCTTATGATGGACATGGATGTTACTTTGTTAACCTCCCTAGCGGTATGATTATGTCAATATTTCTGTGCTCAAAGTGGTCCATTTTTCTGCATGGAAATATGATGTTTTTTTATTGCAGGCCTGTAATTTTTAGGAATAACTCACTGAAATCTGTCCGAACAAGAGTCTAGTAAACATCCTGGGTATGATAAAATTTGAAACACAAAATCATAAATTATAATATAATAAATTATCATAAAAAATAATAATATAATAATAATAATACATGTAATACAATAATATGTTCAAACAAAAAACACTGGAATTTTAAATATAGCGCCAAGTTCGCACATCACTGAGCTTAGTCGCAAATACGTTTTCAGTGTCTGATGATGAATTTCCCCACAAATCATTATCACTCAATTCTGCAAGTAGTTCTGATTTACTATCGCTGTTCTCTAGCTGGTCTAAAACCGCTTTTGACCTAAAGGGATGCTTTTTGGACGCCATGGATGTTTCTCAGTTTCAAAGCAGAAAGAACGGTACAAATGCAGGCAGGGCACAGGACAAAGCAGTAGGGACAAAATGTATGTGAAATGCTTTGATACAGTAATGTTTTACTGTGTGATTTTAGTGTATTTCGTGAATGTCACATTTTAACATTTTTAAATTTCCTGCTGGTTCCGGCCCCCGTACATCCCGTACGTCCCGATACTCGCAGGGACCTGAACCCGGAAGACGGATGCTGGCATCGGCCAGAGGAGATGGCCGGGGATGCTGCAGGGAGGACATCGCTGGAGCACAGGACAAGGTAAGTGAAACAGGGGTCCTGGAGTAACGCTGCAGGGTAATCCCAAGTGTAGCTCAGGGTTACCGCTTTTGGTACTGAAAAGAGTTACACTCGGGAATATTGCCAGGGAGGTTAATGTCTGGTCTTGATAAGTGTACAAATAAGCTATAACCACCTACCCTACAGTATGATTTTTAGTCATTTTATCTTATTTTGATACATTGCACTCACTTTGGCTTGTTGAATGGACACTTGGTTCCAGTTCAACAAGTTCAAACACTTCGACTTAATTTGATTGAAACTCATGTAGAGCCACCCTTGCAAAGGCCACATACACACACACTTCCACTCATTGTCTTCAATGGCCAGCCTAGAGGATGTTTGTTTTTGGAGTTTTATTGTAGAACTGGGGGGATAGGGGATTTAGTAGGATACTCCAAAATTAGAACTATTCACACTGAGGACATCTAGCTGATCTCTTAGTTGAGCACTATTGAAGTCCTTACTGAAAGCAGATAGCAGACTTCTTTTTAAAATGTAGCAACAGGTAATTTCAGGAGTGGGCTAAGTCCCTTTAGCAGTAGTAGTAGTTTCAGGGCTTAGCTCCTCAGGCACAGGCCTGTTACAATAGACTGTAGCAATCTATAAGTAATAGAACTGAGCAAAGTCCTCTGCAGTAGCACTTGTTGGACAAGCTCTTCTGAACACTAGCCAGTGTTCCCTTTTCTCAGACCCATGCTGACTATCAAGCACCAGAGTGGTAGCAAAGCACGCAGAGTCCCAAAGATCTCTCAGTGTCTACTCACAAGCCCAAGGACAGAATGGTTGCCTCCTTCCAATCCTCCAAGCGACACACTCTCTCCAGTGATACCAGACAGATATTTGGCAGACAGTTCCCCTCAGTATACTTCAGGGCCAGGGTCATTCTCTCTGACCTGTGAGGAAGAACAAAAAAGAAAAAAGAAGCGCACCAACCTTGCGCATTACCTCAGTAACCAAAATTTATTAAATAAAAGAATGGTACTCACAAACAGCGAATAAAAACAGGCATGTCAGTCCTCAAAGGGACTTTAAAGGCAAGATGAAAATCCGAATCCCATCATGGAGGAAGCCACTCAGTACAGCTGACGCGTTTCGAAGGACAAGCCTTCTTCCTCAGAGCTTGTCCTTCGAAACGCGTCAGCTGTATTGAGTGGCTTCCTCCATGATGGGATTCGCATTTGCATCTTGCCTTTAAAGTCCCTTTGAGGACTAACATGCCTGTTTTTATTCGCTGTTTGTGAGTACCATTCTTTTATTTAATAAATTTTGGTTACTGAGGTAATGCGCAAGGTTGGTGCGCTTCTTTTTTCTTTTTTGTTCTTCCTCACAGTTCTGTTTGGGCTCCCCAGCCTTGGTGTGGAGCTGCACGACCTTAACTATTTCGGTGGTCCCCTCCTTGCTTTTTTGGAGTCTGATTCCATCTACTTACCACCGGTCTGGGTCCCGGAGCGCAGGAGATATCGCATTTGGTTCATTCTCTCTGACTTCAGGCCCTCAGATCAAACCACCTGAGGTTGCATGGCAGCAAGTGTCAAGCAAGGAAGCCTGACTCCAGCCTGGCTTAGTGCAATCCACTCCAGGGAAAGACCCTGAACCCATGTGCTCACAAAACAGAAATACTAGTCCTAGCAAGCAATGGGGTCACCCTCCCCTGGAGTTGGCCAGCGTTGTATCCATATTCATGCTGTCCATTTGCCTAGCCCCTACCCATGTTCTGGAAGACTCTCATAGCTTTCTGAAGGCGAGCAGAACTCAGACAAACTCAACAGCACTGGAGCATCACAAGCAGACCTCACCAAACAATCACTGCACTCTGTTAAGCAAAATACCACACTGAATTTACCTGACAACCTCTCTGGTAAGCAGAGAAACACAACTATACTATTCTAATACTATGCTCAATAAAGATATTGAACAAAAAAAATTCAAATAAAATTGTGCTTTACCTTAGTTTGCACATTATGATAAAAAGACAATATTTTAGCAATTAGTGATTATCCAGAGGAAAAGGCCTGGTGCACTTTAGAGTGCCGCCAGCCTTTTCCTTTGGATTTGTGTAGTCTCTGGAGAATAGGATAATCCCCTGCTAATATTTTGCACTCAATTTTCCATGGGAGTGATCCAATTTAGGGCTTGGGAGCAGTGCACCCCATATTTTGACCAATGTTGTGGTGAAGGTTAAAATACAATAAAGGCTTTCATTACAAAGCAGTCTGACATACCAACCTTATCCTATTAGCTTCAATTCAATCTGCTTAAATTGTACCTATTTATGCATTCCCAAAATTTGATTTAACCATCAAGATACATCAAGACATAATTTTGTGCATCTGTCATTGAGAATTGCATGGGTGTTCTGAGCATACATCATGCAGTCAATATTTAAACTAAGATTATGTGGCTGGAGATTCAGGTGCCTACAGCTACTGAGGACATTTAAAACCTGTGCCTCCTATAAAAACTGGGTAATTCATACATTTAAATACTTTGTGTAGCATATACAATTTATAATGCTCAGTTCAGTGCCTTTTTTAAAAATAATTTCTATTTTGTAATGTAATTAAGCAAATATTATCAGATGTTTTTCAGGTTTATTTTTAAGTGCAGAAATGTTCATGTTTCAAGTTGTATGCATATTTTTAAAAGTAGCCACATATGCAATAAAAGTGCTAAAAAAGTGCTAAAAGCAGTATTAATAATATTAATAATAATATTAACAACAACAACAATAATAATCAGAGTTCTGTTACCCAGTGAAAGCACTAAGATTTGTTACAGAAGTCAGATAAGTGAAACACGTACTTTGCTTTGTTCTTCTATTTTATTAAACCCCACTTTTTGAATTAGGTGTATACTGTAGATCACGTGATCCCATCAAAATGTTCCAATCTCTTCTGCTTTTCTCAACTTTGCAGCTACACTATCAACTAAATAGAAAAATGAAGGGGAGAGCAAAAGAACAAGAAGCAGACAATTATAATAAGAGCCTTTGACAAGGAAGACTTTGCTAAGAATGCATTGGAATACCAAGGTTACGAAGGTGTTAAAAACAGTGATTTCTTTCCAAAAACAGGAAGAAAAAATTGACAAAAATAAGTAATTTGTGCTTCAACATACCATCTATGCATTTTGTGACTTGTAAATGACCCTTACTGAAACATCACAGGCAAAAGAGATTATCCATGGAATGAACAATGTGATAAAATTTACATATTTGTGGAATTAGCATGCACAGTCACAATTACATGGGTATTTTAGGTAATTATATGGCTACGTACAATAGAATGTATTTTCAGTACAAGCTGCCCCCTGCCATTCTCCACACTTTCTTCTCCAGCTTAGTGCTCTAAGCAACATCATTCATGAATGCTCTGCTGGGAACATTTTTCCCCTCTTTCATCCCTGGCTCTGGATAAGAAGCGAAAAGGATAAGCACAGAGAGAAATGCTCAGCTTTCCCACCAAATACTGTCAGGCACACACTGGGGACCCAGCAACATATTGCAACAGAAGAGGGCAGGAGGCAATGCTCGGAGATGGGAACCTGCTGTGAAATAACCATCTGTGGTTTAACTGTAATTTAATTACTGGCACCAGCCTCTGGTGTATAGTGGGGAGATGTGCACCATGTCAACACCACTCTTCTCTGCTGCACCGTCTTCAAGACCTTATGGCTGTGATGCAGTTAGCAACATGAGATACAGTTTCCTGAAATGTAGAATATATGAAATAAAACAGAAATCTCTGAGAGGAAATTGGAAATGACTTACAGTATTTTTCCATAGAACCACGGGGGTAGAAAATAAGTTTTCATTAGAAGAAAGACAAGATCTTCTATAGAAAATTAGAATTAGGTGGGAGAGAAAATTTGTCCATCCATTAATTGTTCTGTCCATCACCTGTACGTCCATCCATCCATCTTAAAATGAGAAGAAAAAAGGGATTTATGCATCCAGTTTTGTCCCATGGGATGCACTTATAGATGAGGGACAGAACTGAATAAAGTCTTGCTTACTATAAAGGATGAGTTCACCTTACATAACATGCAACATGTTTATAAATGCACCAGCCCCCGCTCCCCCACTTTTAGAGCTAGCGGAGAATCTTCACCTCCCTCGCTAGCTGGCACATTTTTTAAAAAAAAAACTTGGCTATGCTGGGCTTCGCAGCTTGGCCGCTTCACTCACTGTGTTCTTGTGGATGATAAACTGCAAATCCTATTCGGGTTGTAGTTCTCACATGAACTGACGTGTGCACGGAGCTGTGGAGCACTGTGGTAGTTCAGGGAGTCTTCCTGTCAGTATATCTGCTTGCCCGTTCGTACATCCGTACATGCGTTACGAGGAAGCAGATTTACCGGGAGGTCTGCATTGGTTACAATACTTTAGAGCAGCGGTTCTCAACCTGGGGGTCGCGACCCTTTGGGGGTCGAACAACCATTTCCCAGGGGTCGCTAAGACCATCGGAAAACACATATTTCCGATGGTCTTAGGAACCGAGACACCGTGCTGTCTCCCGGCGCGATGTGTGGTGGGCGGGATGATATACGCTGCTCCTGTCACCTGGCCACACCTCCGGGATCGCGCTCAGCAGCTCCGCCTCCTCGCCGCTGATTGGCCACGGAACTGTAGCTCAGGAGAGGCACACAGGCGGCCAATCACCGGCGAGGAGGTGGAGCTTGGAGAGGAGGAGCCGAGCGGCGCAGCGGCAGCGAACATCAAAGAAGACCGAGGGAGCTGCCGGAGCGAGTGAAGAGGAGAGCGGCCAGAGAAGGAAGACAGCTGACAGGTAAGTGAGGAGAGCGAGCCCAGGCTGGAACAGGGGGTCAGCAAAGTAAGTATCATTGAGTGTCAGTGGGAGGGAATAGTGCCCCATCATTTGTGTCACTAATACCAACGATGGGGCACTATTCCTCCCCCCACCTGACACCAACGATGGGGCACTATTCCTCCCCCCACTGA